TGAAGATACATTGGACTAAAACAAGAAATCAATGAACGAATGTTAATTAACTCTTATTACTAGAAGATGACTACAAAGAAAAATAAGCGAATTCTTGTTTGATCTAGATGAATTTCCAAGAATTTTTATGATTCATCAAAATCGATGAAGATTTGTCGAGACTTCAAATTTCTACCTACATTGATTCCTTTGATTCAAGCAACATAATATAATACATATATTTATCTATTAAAGATCTTTTTAGTATTGATCATTTTTATAGTATTTTTGGTTGTCCGTAGAAAGGTCAAAAGAAAAAATGTTGATACTAGAAAAATATTGAAAAAAGTGGTTTTGCCCAGACTAAGTGTGAGCATATGTGATAAAGAAGATTAGAACCTACACTCACACTCACCCTTTTCCTTTCGACCTTTCTGCAGCACACTGTATTTTTTTTTTCAATTAAATGTCGTGATTCCCTTCAGAAACGTCAAGAAAACTAATCTTTTCGAATTTCAACTTGAAATTTTGCATAGAGATGGGTCTTCATGAGAATAGTTTATTGTTATTTATACGCAATCAATCTATTTGCAGAAGTCTTCTTTCGATTTGTTTTTTACTAAAAACTTCTATTTCATAGTTCTGTGTGCTTAACTTACAACTCTTTTCGGACTTATTTCAATAAATGGTTTTTTTGTTACTCGATTTGATTCCACCAACGTTTTTTTCAAGATCTGACCTATTCCAATTCGAGCCCTACTTTCTTAACTATTCTACTCAATTTAGTATCTTTAAAAAAAGTAAATAAATTATGAAAGAGTATTTATGTACTATCTGATATAGACAAAACCCATAAACTATAGATGAAACTTAATTTACTATGGAGTATTCGTTGTATTTCCTGTTGTTAATAATGGTGTATATAATTCTTCAATATTATTTGATGATTCAATAAGTTTATTTAAAATATGTAAAAGTAATTCATTCAGATAAACTTCATAAGTTTTAACTAAATTATTATCATTCGTATTTTCTGTTTCAATATGACTACGACGAAATCTAACATCAAGTAAATCATTTAATAAAAATAAATTTCGTCTTAAATGTAAATCATTTGCTTTACTTATATCGAATAAACGTAAAAGATATTTTTCACGTTCATGTTGACTTTTATCATCATGATGAAATTGTAATAATTGTCTTAATAATGAACGTAATAAACTAAATTCATTAAAACGTTGTTCAAATTGACAATGATAATTAATAACTTGTATTGATGATTTTTTAATTATTAAACAATCATTAGCATAAAGACTTAATGATGATATTGGTCTTGTTGCAGTATCAGGTATTGGTATTGTTGTATTATTATTATTCATTGTTGAATCATTTGGAATGTATTTATTATCATAATGAGGACAAGCTGAAAGATTATTAATATTTGCTGAATTTTCTAATGAATTAGCTATAAATTGTAATAAACGACTTCGACCAATTTTATCTTCACCTATGACAAAAAGAAAAATAAATTTATTAAATCAAATAAAATTAGAATAAATCATTATGGAATGAAAATAGTTAGAACTTATTCTTATTGCTATTTCTATTAATTTATAACATATATGACAGTGACGGATTGTCATCATAAATAGCATTAACATCAAATACTTCGTTATCTATTATTATTAAACATAGAAGAAAAATCTTCAATTAATTTTTTTTTCTTATCAAATGAGTTACTGAGTAGGGATGTGCAGAAGCAAGTTTTTTTTGTTGATCCTGGTAACTTTTTTTTTTCACCTGTCTCAATCCCGATAGCTTCTTTTTTAGTGGGATTCTGTTCTTAGTGGTCCCGATTCTGCACGTCTCTAATACTGAATATAATCAGACGAACTTAGAAGATGTGTGCTTTTTTTGTAATTATTACTAATAGATATGAAAGAATAATTTGAGTAAGAATGTCAAAAAAAAAAATCCTACTTTCTAACCTTCAAATATAATAGCTGCAAGATCTCTTCGTCTATTTGAACTATTAACCGGTTCATCAAGTAACACAATTTGTGCTGCAACAATCATTAATTCAACTCTTCTTCCTAAGAATGGATAACATTCTTGTTTGATTTCATTTATGTGAAAATTAGATGCTCTATTTTGTTCGATCATTTGTAATACTCCAGGACAATCATCATATTGCCAAATAATTCCAACATCATTCATTCCCTTTAAAAAAAAAGAATATATTTATTTATACATTTAATTCAAAATTTTTTTTCTTTTCATCTTACTTTTAAAGATTTAATAGGTAATTTTTGAAAGTATCGACTATTTAAACGTGAATTATAATATGTTTCTTGATCACATGAAATTATATTTGGATAATTACACATTAAACGTGCAGCCATATTTACTTTTCGACCAATAACTGTATATTCACAACGTGCTGCATGTCCAACCACACCACAATAAGTAAGACCTGTTGTCACCTAACCTAACGAAAATAAAACAATGTGTGTTTTTTTTTTAAGAAAAATTTCTTTATCATTATTTACACCAATTGAACAATTTTCAACAAATTGACATTGATCTCGAATTGTTGAATGAATCATATAAGCAGATTTAAGTGCATTAGCTGTATCATCACCTTGTTTATAACCAGGTAAACCAAAAACACATAAAAATGAAAAACCTTTATCAAATAATAATGCTTTTGTTAAAACTCCACCCATCATTTTTGTTAATTCATATATTTGTACAAATATTTTCTGAATATTTTCATGTAAATTATCATTTATTGTTTGTTCATTTGATATATCAAGATTAATAAATGATATTGTTACACGACGTAATTCAGATAAATAATCTAATGATTGTTTACGTTCAATACGTTGATGAACACAACGTAATAAAAATGATTTCATTAATGAATCAATTTTAAAATTAAGTTCATCATTTGACAAATCATTTTCAGATGATTGTTTATTATCATCATTATTATTATTATTATTATTATCATTGGTTATTTCTTGATTAGACATATCCTATTCAAAAAAACAAACATGAACAAAGAAAGTATTATTTTTTTTATATAAATAACTCCATGTGGAATGTTATATTGGTTTAGTATATCTCAAAGGAATAGCTTATCATAAAATTCTAGTTGCAATCTATGTTGATAAGTTTATTTCTATTGGGAAATCATTATGTGAAAGTTGATAATTGCTAAGGATTATTTATTTTGCACAATTATATTATATGTGTATAATCTGTGTCATATATCATTAAAATTATATGGTTTTATTTTTTACTGGACAGAAATCATTCAAATTATATTTATGTTTTGATATATACAGTTTGTACGATATGTTATTCTGATATTTGATAATTGATTAGAATTTTTCTAAATTAATCTGTATTTTGTTTTTATTTAGAGATTTGACAATAATTTTTATGTCTCTAAAAAATATTTGTTTATATTGTTTCGACGAGAAAGTAAATCAATTTGCTTGTATAATCTAGACACTAATAGAAAAAAATTGGATAGATCGATTATAGTTCTACGTGGTTGAGTTATTTGGTCGTATTTGGCTTCGATTTATATGATTACTTCAATATAATTATTTTTTTTTCCAGTATAACGATGGAATCTGGTCTTTTTGAATAATTAAATTTTCTATCTTTTATATATCCATTTGCTTAGATTACGGATAGATTATCTACTTGAAGGTCATATATGAGATAATACTTGACATTGGTACTCATTGAGACGTTAGAACTCAAAATAACATATTTTCCGGTTGAAGTATTTCTTCGATATATGTTTAGACACAAATAGAATTGTTAAATGAAGTTATTTGAAATCGATTGAAAATATTTTCGTAGTTTGATTTATTTCGCATATAAAATTAGATTATACTTTGTCAAAAAAGACGTGGAAGGAGGAAAATTATTTTTTTGTTTTAATCTTAATATCAAGTTTAACAAAAAAAATTTTTTTTTTTTTTCGTAGAGATTTAAAAAATACTTTTTTATATTCATGTCAATAAATCTGATACATATATACATTCTTTATTATTCCCCTCTGTTTATCATTCATAAAGATATTAGTAAAACAAATTCTTTCTTCTTTTTTTTTTAATTTCAAATATGCATGTAAAATCTTATACATTCATACTTTTGTTTTGATAAATGAAATCATTACTCATCATCATAAACAAAACTCAAGTTTTATACAATTATTTATATAACTTATCGATAATTCTTAATATAATCGATTTATAGAAATATTGAAAGTTTTCATTTGAAATAAGTATATCTCAAATGTCTTTACATACCATTCTATCATTTATTACTGTTGAATGATTAATATGTTCTTCTGTATCAGAATCTTCATTGAATGATTTTCTTGATTGTGAATATTCAACAGCAATATGTTCATGTTTAGGATCAATATCATCACTAACAGGTATAAATTCACAATTGAATGTTTTTGTTTGAAGTTTATCATAAACAGGTTTTGTTAAAATAATATCACCAGGTTCACATAATTGTTCGCATATATTAACATCGTTAATACAATTACCTGTTAATAAATAATGTTTAAATTCATCTGTACCAACAAATATAGCACATACAGGTCCATATGCAAGTGCTACTTTAAGACGTAATATAACACCAACATCTGTTTCATAAACTCCACATTTTTGTTGTAAATGTAATGCACATTTTAATGCTTGTTGTGGACCTATAGTTTCATTTGTCCATAATGCAAGTATAGCATCTCCAGCAAATTTATATATATCACCATCATGTGTTAATATTTCATAAACAAGTTTATCAAAATAAGCATTTAATGTACGTGTTAATTGATCAATACCCAAATGTGCATCATTAGAATATTGTTCAGTTAATGATGTAAAACCCGATACATCAAGAAATAATAATGTTGCATTATTATATTTATGTTCATTTGGTATTGATATAACACCTTTACGATCAATTAAATCATTTAAATTATTTAAAACAATATCTGGAATATGTGCTTGTACTTGTTGTCCGATGTTTAATATATCATCATCATCATCATCATTGTCATATTGTTCGTATTCATGAGTTTCGTCAATACTTCCGTTATTGAGATTTCTCATCGTAGTACTTAGTTGCATAGTAGCAACAACCATTTTAACAGTATCTGTTGCAAATGATGGTAAACCATGAGACCATGTCCGGCGTAGCGACTTCTTTCGTTGTCGGTGATTCGACAGGTGATTATTTATTGACGACGTTTTGTTTTTCGCATGAATGCTTTGGGGTCGTTGATGCATGATAATTTGTTTTGAATCAATAATTCAAGTTAGTGTCGAAGCATATCGAGTCTAAATTATTTTTTTTTTCTAATTGCTAAAATGTCAAAAATATATCAATGAGTAGGCAATGATAGATAAAATCTATTCTTTTTATGTTAACAGAACTCCTACATGCATACACTTAACATAGCAGTCTATCAAGATCAAACAGTACGTTTGTTTTTTTCCTTTCGTTGCATAACGAAAAAGTCATAGTAAAAACAAATATGAAATTTTAATAATAAAAAAAAAGATCGTGAGTTACTATGAGAGATAAAGAAAAAATGATAAATAATCGATCTTTCAACTCACAAGAAACTAACAACGATGATGTCAAGTTCACTATGATGTTTTTATATGTAAGGATATGATTTATTTACTGATATTATATCATTCTCAACATATCTTTTGTTGGAGGTTCTTTTTTTCTTTTTTGTTCCGTCTTACTTTAATGTTTTATTTTAGTATGAATATCAACGTGTCATTCGTGATTTGCAGGAATGTGTGTGTATGTGTATGTTTCAGATGCGAACGTGTTTGCGTGATGATCTAATTTAATCTTATTCTAGAACAAATAGCAAAAGACAAAAGCATAAAAATGGCGCTGTTACACAGCATATAAAATGTAAATTTTTTTTTCTTTTAGTGATATCGATGATGATGAACGAAGACTTTTATGATTGTTTTCTATCATCTGTGTTAGAGATGTTTTTAGTATGAATGATTTATGCCTCTTCTTAGCCTTATATTTGTTCTCATAAGAGAGAGCATCCTACTTCGATTCTCATTGTTTTCTTCTGTGCAAAGAAAAAGACAAACATTACCCAAATATCTTACTGTATAGCTACCAAAAAACTGTATTTAGCAATGGTAACGTCATTTATCGCTTGTCACATATAGTTGTATTATCCGTAAGCATAGATAATATTACAGGTAGAAAAAAAACAATAGAGTTTTCTTTCATTCATTTCCATAATATAATAAGAAATGATGAAGAAAAATCGATTCTCAGAATTGGATGTTGACAAATGTTAGACACTACTTGATCTATTCATTCATTGGTTAATATGACATCTGGTTGCATGAAAAAATCTCGAAGAATAATTATCGTGCCATCAAAATAAAAAAATAGTAATAATAAGTGAAGTTGATATAGAGGGAGCGAAAGAAGAAAAAAAAAGGAAACAATAGTCCATTGTAACGATTTAAAGCATTGCCGTATACATTCTTATCAGATGATGGAATGCAATGAGAAACAATGTTAGGCTTACAAAATACCAGTTGCAATAGTTTTGTCTCGAAAGCTAATAAGTAATACTTTTTGTTTTGTTGCTGACGATCGTTGTCATTAGTCATAAATACATTATAATTAGAAGAAGTTTATATGGAACCGAAAGATACTAGTATAATTTAGTTCCTCTTCTTGTTTTTTGTATTTTCTTCTTCATCTATGTTGACCAGCTATCACTCGATATGCATATGTCTATATATAATAAGGAAAATGATTGACGGATATAACCGAAAAAAGACCTGTTAAGAGATAGCTATTACCGCCTACAAAATATCTCTGAGACGATTAGAAAGAGAACTATGAAAGATAATATGAAATATTTATTTACTTTATATAGGAATTCATTAATCGATGGAATTTATCGTTGTTCAAATACCATTCTTTATTACGACTTTAACGTATTTATCATTTATTCGACGCTTTTATACCTTACCTATATAACGTGATTCTTGAAACTTAATAACATGCAAACTAAATAGAAAGAAAAAATATTTACACACAGAGAAAAAGATTGTGTGATCAGCAATCATTAGAAGACTTGTAAAGAATTGTGTTCTTTTTCTTTTCTATTTGCTAGCCAAGCAACAGCTTTGATTAAGCTTTAATGCAAAACTTATGTTTGATATTGATTTGTGCTTGCTATTCGCATATGTCAACACATGCATTCTTTCATTTAATGTCTCTTTTCTTTAATCATTAATAATGATCATAATCACTAAGTTTTTTTTTTTGCCCAAAACATGTTATTAATTAACAAATAGAAAATGAAAAAGTATCGTTAAATAACAAGAAAAAATCTTATATTAAATAAATATATCCACATAAAACAATACATGTGTGTGTGTGTGTTTCTTTTCTTCTAAAATATGATATTTATATATTTAATTAAGAAAAAATGACAAATGAAAATGAAAATGACATAAGTTAAGAACAAATAGATTAAAAAAAGATCGTCTATCACATAGAAGTTTTTTGTTTTTTGTTAATTTGCCATCAAATTTCTACCGGTTATAATTTATATTTGTGTGCATAGAATAAGTACAATAACAATAAATAAAAGAATTTTAAAACAAAAAAAAAACTTGAGATCAATGTTCCTTAATAATTGCCTAAAAAATTAATTAATCTTTCGAATCTGTACGTTTAACTGGTAAATATTGTTGTGTATGTTTAATATATCTATCAATCACAGATGGACCATCTCTATAAGAAAAAAAAAATTTTTTAAAACTAAATTATATAAACAAAAAACTAATTAAATACCTTTGATAACTATCAATACTTGCTGTATCTGTCCCATCAATTTGTTCTAAAATATTTTTTCTTTGATTACCATTTGATATAGATAGATCTTTAATACGATGAATTGATTCTATATCACTTGATGAAGAAGTTTTTGTTTGTTTATCTTCAGTTTCATCAGTAATAAATTTATATTTTAAATGATTTTCAACATCACAATTTGTTAAATCTTCATCATCACTATCATCAGGTGCAACAAAAACAACTGTTAATGTCATATCTCCTTTCTATTTAAAACAATAGAATAAAAAAAAAATTTAATTAAATATTTTGTCTTTTGTTTTTTTCTAATCTACATACAATAGATGATAAAATTTGAACAGCTTCTTTATGTTTAGCATCACGTAAATCTTGTTGATTAACAGCTAATATTGAATCACCAATATAAAGTTGTCCACTACGCCATGCTGGACCATTTTGATGAATTTCAGATATAAGAATAGGTAAACCATGTTCTTTGCCACCTGTTATTGATATTCCTAATGCTTCGTTAGCTTCTTTATGAAGTTGAACTGTACGTATTTCTCCTACACCATGACGTTTTTTCAATGTATTAAAATCCTGTTCGGCAGCAAAAAAAAGACAATATAGACAGACAGAAAAGTAAAATATTTAAATTACATGTCCTGGTGGCACTGTTAAAATTTTATTAACTTTTTCTCGACCACGACATGCACGTATAACAGTTTTATGACGATGTAAATGTATTTCAGCTTCAAGTTGATTCCATAAATTTTCATGATCAGCTCCGCGTAAATCACGACCAAGTAATTGAATTTGCTGTATTCTATTAATCAAAAACAAAATAAATTCAAATATTAATATTAGTTTTTCTTTTTATGTCTAAAAAAAAAACAAAATAGAGTAATAAGGATGTTTTATACATCTATGGAAGATGGATTGTATGTTATTTATTAACAGTAATATTTGTTTTACTGCTTGATTTATTACAGTAATATATGGACGGAAATTAATGAATAAGCATCTATAAAGAATTATTAAGCAAACGAGAAAACATAACAATGATTGCCTTTTACCTTCATAATAAATAAATGACAAATCATATTTTTTCTTAGTCTTTCGAAATACTATTGTTATTGAATCTCATATAAATAATAATAATAATATATGTTTGATTATTGACCTAACCTTAACAATGAGAATTCATTGAGAAAAATCTTATAGACATAAAATCGAAATTTACTGTTTATTTATTCAATTACATCAACTTTGGATAAATGAGAAAAAAAAAATTGTCGATTTTTGTTTCACATTATTTGAATAGTTTTATTTGTAGAATACTTGTAAAATATCTATAGAACGAAGTTTAATTATTAGTATTGCTAATGTTGTTGAAAACAAGAAAACAACAAAGTTGATCTCATTACTACATGCGTCACAACACATTAGATATATTACATAGGCTGCGTACTAGAGAAATAACATATGGAAATAAAAGATTAATACTACTTCTGTTTTTTGAATCTAATTCGATATTTATTCTGTAGTATCAAATGCGTCTATCACAATACAATACACATATGCCAACTGAATTTTCTTATTCATAAATGTTATTTTTCCATCAAACTCTATGCACTGAAAAATTCTTCGTGACGTCAGAAAGATAGTATTATTAGTGCAAATTATCATCGTTTAATAATATTCGAGAAATATTTTATCATGTCAAGATTGTTTTATCAAATTAATAAAATCAAAAAGTCGATCAAAGTTCATCTCATAACAGAAATCTATATGAAGAGCGATAAATTTAGATTATTTCTTAATAGTCGAAAAACGATTATTTTTTATTGTTGAGTTTATATGTTGATATCTCATTGCACATCTCATCTATTGATATTTACCTCTTGGGAGTAGGAAGTATATTAGTATGTTTTAGTTATGATTCAACTAATAATTGACTTCGGCATTTATCTTATAATAGCATGGTCTGAAAGTTTTCAATTAAAGGATGGCTAAGCAATGAAGGAAAATTTCTACTTAGAGATGCTTCATCTGTGTGAAATTCACCAAATATATCTTGAAATTATTATTCTTATTGTACTCTCATTAATCTTCTTCCATCTCATAATTACATTCATTACTTCTATATTATTTTCTCGGATTTGCGATGAAAAATAACATCTTTCTTTTATCAGTTTCTTGCGTAATGTCCTTGTTATCTTAGTAAAAGTTCGTTCTTGTCTAGTATAATCGAGTTCTGGCTATTGTCCATTTATATATGTAAGTAAACATTGCCTGACAGTTTCAAAACATTTGTTACCTTCAACAATAACCTTGTCCTCAAGGGTTACGCAGTATTTGTATTTGTTTTGTATTATTTCTTGATACACAATAAAGTAAATAATAGATATCATCGCTTGGTGAATTTAATAAATTCATTTAGTTGATCATTTTTACTTGATTCGTATTGGTATTAAGTAATAAAGTAACATTCAAAAATTATCTTACACATGAAAAAAAAAATTCAAAATGAAATATTTTAGAAAACTTTCATTGATTTTTCTTAAGTAGCTTTAGTTCGACTCCTTTCAGGTTCGAAAAACTATGAATCGATCATATCTTTCCGAAGTTTTGAACATAGAATACTTTTATCAATATTATTAACTATTTATATTTATAAACATTCGAACGTTCTTGAAGAAAAAAAAAAAAGGAGTAGAAAAAATTGGAAACAAGATATGTAGTATGCTCGATCAAATACAGAATTATTTGCTAAAGTTCAAACGAATTGCAATGATTTCGAACAAAAAGCAGGACTCGCTGCAATATATAAATAAATGATTTAATTTGTTACATGAAATTTTCAACCACCATATCCAAATGTTTAGAAAGAAAGTATAACAAACCTTCAGAGCTTCCTCAGCAAGAAAAATCAGAAGTAGTAAAATGAATATCTTATCAAAGTCTATCAAAATTTAGATTGTTATTACATGTAGAACTCATTTAAAACTATTTACGCTCCTTAGACTAAGAAAAAATATGAGCACACTACTCACAAGAGTATTCTGAGTGGGCTGTAATGAGTTTAAAAAGAAATGATTGTTTCCCATAAAAAATTTACTTTGCATCGCGCACGAGATATCTTTATACTTTTCTTAACGAGTTCTCATTTTATAGAATCGAACTTTTCCAAGTCAAGTAATGAATCAAAAAAAAAAATAATAAGCAATTTAATCGTTGATACAATTAACGAACTACACGCAAAGATATTTTTTTTTCTATTAAAACTTGAAAAAAAAAATGTGTTGAATTTATTACATGACTATGTCTGGTTTTTTTTTCTCTTAAATATCATTGTCATTATCTATTTGTCATGAGAAAATACAAATGATAATCAACTTATTTTATGTGATAATTTTATAAACACGGAAAGTATATTTTTTTTAATTCATAAGGAATTCAAAATTCAAGCAAAATTTTTCTTAGCAAAAAAAAACCAGTGAACAATAAATAGATCGATATATACAACTATTAAGATCATCAGTATATAATAACACTCATAAATCTAAAAACAAGAATTCGGGGCAGATATATATTATAGCTTATTCGTTTACATTGAAAACAAACCTAAGAAAATATGTAACTTTGATCTGAAAGACTCGCCGATCGGATTTAAATGGGACAAAATGTCTTCCTAGTTTTTGAAAACTTTTCAGTATAATAGAGGCTTCGTTTTAGGCTCATTCAATAGAGACCTTCCTGCTCTAAAAAACTACTATATTTATTTTTCAAATAATTTTTTGTTTGTCGGCACACAAAAGGTGAGCACATATAACTCAATCGTCTAACTGTGACAGTCAAAAAATGAAAAATTTTTCATAAAATTTATGCTACAAAATTTTCTATCTTTTGATATATACTTTAGGATTTTAAAATGTATGCAGAAAAAAAATTCGAAACATAAAAAAACCTTTTTCTGACAGAATGATGTCATTATTCTTTTCCTAATATTTCTACTGTCCAAGTGAAAAATCATCCCATTTTACTCAGAATTGAATTTCACATTGGATAGCACGAGAACAAACGTGTCATTGAGCAAATCTCACTTTGAAAAACATGATTTTTCCTGAATAGATCTCAAAATACTACTAAGTGTTGGTTCAAATTCTTTTTCTTTTGAACAACAGCAGGAGAAACCTTGAAAAGGTCATGAAAACAGAGAGAATAAGCCTAAAGTGAAATCTTTGATGTGTTGGAAAGTGCTCTAAAAAGAGAAAAACAGTTTGTCCTATTTAATATGTGCTACTTTTGTATTGTTAATTTTGAAATAAAATATTAAATTTACCTTCCGGCTAATTCTTTATCAAGATATTTTGCTGCTAAACGTGAACCATAAATTTCTGATTGAAGATTAATTATTTGTGCTCTAAGTTTAGCATTTTCTTTTTCAAGTTCTTGTGCTTTTATTTCTGGTATTCGATTTTGTTTAAATTCATCACGTTGTTTAGCTATATGTTCTTCCTAAATAAATATTTTAATTAAACAAAAAAAAAAAGAAATTAATAAGATAAACAAACCATTTTTTTTCTTATTGCATCAGCACCATCAATTTCACCTTGATTTTTTAATGTTTGACATTCTAATTGTGATGCATGTAATTGTAACATTATATCTTTGACTTGTTGTTCTAATCCTTGTGGATCAGCTTTAGCATCAATCATTTCTGTTCGAATATCAATTATTTGAGCCTAATTTTTTAAATTTATTTTCAAAATCGAAAACAAAAAACATAAAATTTACTTCTAATTTAGCATTAGCTTGTGAAAGAGTTTGTGCTTTATGTGCTAGTTGAGCAAAACTTGAACTAAGTATTGTCATTTTTGCTCGACCTTCATCAGTTATGTCCGATTGATCTTGATCAATTTCACCAAGTAATAAATCAAGATTAACAAATGCTTTATCAAATTCTTTTTCAAGAATATCAAGCCAACGAAATGCACTAACTGATGCTGACATATTCAATGATGTTTTTTCTTTTAATAATTTAAAATATCATATTTATAACCAAGAAAAAACAGAATCCTAGATATTCACAAAAAATAGATTACAAAACCATACGAGAAAAAATTTGACCAGTCACAATTAAAATAAAGCAATAAAGTTTTTCTTTTTTATTATTTATTAGAATAACAAATCTGATTATTTAATAAAAGTTTCGGAATAATTTATAAAGAATATATATTGAAAACAAGAAAATAAGACTTCTCATTAATTGTCTTTATGCGACATCTAGAAATAGAATTGATCAGAAAGAAACGATGTGGTTCTTCACTACTCGTCTGATATTGCTAAAATAAACTACCTACGATTCTATGGCATACTTTACATATAAAGTAATGAATAGTAGTTAAAAGCAAGTCATTTATTGACAGAGAGTGAATATATCTTGCGTGTAATTATTCAATACATACGACATAGGTTTTCTTAGATATTCAGAAGTGTTTTTTAAATTCAAATTGTGTTTGGGATGTGTGTATTGATACTGAACCAAGTTTCACATAGGAAATATTTTTATATGTTAATTAAATAAATTAATCTTGTTTTTAATTATACAGGATGTCCTAAAAGTTACCTACCAAAAAAAGAATTCAAATATCTCTTTTGTATTTTAATCAAATCCATCGATTAGTTTTTTTTCTGATGATAGAGGAGAGATCCAAGTCTTTGTTCCTATAAGAGAAATCATGCTTGACTGTGATACAAAAATTGGCTTTTTTTTGAATTCATCGGAATCTTTATGACACAAATGATTACAGAGTTTCAAGTCCGATATTTTTCTCAATACTAGAACAACTTCCGAAGAATTCGTGTTCTTGTTGCATGTTAACCAAGTTATAATTACTATCGAATTTACTTCCGCAGGATCCAACGAGTAAAAAAAATGGAATTTTCTAGATTTTAATGGAAATTATCTGAAACCAACCGAAAAGTCTGAAAAAGTAAAAAAAAAAAAAGAAAAATTCAAAAATGTGTTGAAACTCGATTGCGGTTTCTCACTTCAACAGAACTTCATATTTTCAATAAAATTTTATTATTGAATTCTCTCATGAAATTTAACCTTCACAAAACTATCAGTTAGGCCAGCATGTATAGAAAATTTCAAGATCTTTGGATGTAGTGTCAGTTTTCCAAAATTTAACGTTTTCTTATTGATATTGATAAAAAATTCGAAAGAGAATTATATAGTTTGACTAAAGCGCGATGGAGATATTCAAATTCTTTTTTTATTAGATGACTTTTAAAATACTATGTAGTTTAAAAATGTGTTTAGATCGAAACAACTTTGTTATCAACAAAAACTAAGCTGATCAAATGGGATAGTTTTAATTAATTCAAACAAAAAATGATGCGTGAGACGTAAGAAGCAAAATATTTAAGACTATGAAAATAATTTCTCGATTGGTTTCATAAAATTCAAGCTAAAATTTTTATTATTCAAGATACTATTTATCCAAGTCACTCTCAAATTTCCAAATATGAAGAAGATGTATGGCTGTTTAAATTTTAATTGAAAATGATCAGTGTTGATATACAATTAAATTGAAGACATCATGACAATTTTTTCTTTTTTTAGTAATTAATACACATATGCATAACTATTCGAAATTGTACAAAATTTGTGCTTACGAGAGAAGTTCCCAAACTGATTAATTGTTTTTGAATTGAAACTATATGCATCATATAAGTCCTAATGAGTTATGAATATCCTGACAAAAGCTCGTGCTGCTAGCTGATTGTTATCAAGATGCTGCACTTTTACGATAGTTTTTAGTGAATGTCGTAGTCCCTCACAGAAACACCGATAAAACTGATTTTCAGATTTCGACTTGAAACTTAGTCTAAAGTAACAGCATGTCTCTTACATTGCTTATATATACACTGGTAGGTTCGATGTTCTTGTTTTAGAATACGAGCAAATCAAAAAACCTAAAGACCACGATATTGTATTAGAAAAATATCATAGGGTGTTTCCATGGGATGTCGTCACTCGATCCAGCGACCACGTCCAAATTCAGTGAAACTTTCAGGCTTTGTATAGTTTTTTGCGCTGATCATTTTGGTTATAAAATTTTTATATTTGGTCGCTGTTTTTAGAGAGATACGGGTCAAATACTATTGGTGCATTTTATGTTTTTTCCAATCAATTCAAGTCACATTTTCATCGAAAAACCGATCATAGTCCATGATTATTCATTCGGATTTTAAAACCAATTATATATTTGTATTTCTCTTGAAAAACTGCACCAGAATCCTTAGGAATCTAAAAATTTTTCACGCATTTTTATACTGCCCACTGATTCACAATGTAGAGGAACAATGTATGAAAAATTCGATCAGAAAGTTGGAATAAACGAGAATGGTGGCGTTACCAGTTCGATAGAGCAGAACTTGCTCTACAACATCCACTAATTAGTTTTCTCCCCGACCTTGATTATGAAATGAACGACTGTCAAAACTATTTTAGATTACAATTTTTCATCAAATTTTAGTGAATATATCGATGAGATCTAATCAGATGGCTTGTTAACTACTTCAAAATTCATTGAGATTTGAAGGAATATGTTGATCTGATCATTTTGGTACTAAATTATCTAATGATCGACTCTAATATACACAGGTTTCTAGCTTAAATAAATAATATGGTGCTACTCCCTTCTTTTCATAAAAAATACATTGTTTTTTTTATGCATAATAGTTAAAAGGATATTATATACACTGATATTATTTGACTTGTTTATTCGTGAAAATAGAGTCGAACATTAGGTAATTTAGTACCAAAATGATCAAATAAACATATTCTTTCAAATCTCAATGAATTTTGAAGTAGTTAACAAGCCATCTGATTAGATCTCATCGATATATTCACTAAAATTTGATGAAAAATTGTAATCTAAAATAGTTTTGACAGTCGTTCATTTCATAATCAAGGTCGGGGAGAAAACTAATTAGTGGATGTTGTAGAGCAAGTTCTGCTCTATCGAACTGGTAACGCCACCATTCTCGTTTATTCCAACTTTCTGATCGAATTTTTCATACACTGTTCCTCTACATTGTGAATCAGTGGACAGTATAAAAATGCGTGAAAAATTTTTAGATTCCTAAGGATTCTGGTGCAGTTTTTCAAGAGAAATACAAATATATAATTGGTTTTAAAATCCGAATGAATAATCATGGACTATGATCGGTTTTTCGATGAAAATGTGACTTGAATTGATTGGAAAAAACATAAAATGCACCAATAGTATTTGACCCGTATCTCTCTAAAAACAGCGACCAAATATAAAAATTTTATAACCAAAATGATCAGCGCAAAAAACTATACAAAGCCTGAAAGTTTCACTGAATTTGGACGTGGTCGCTGGATCGACTGGCGACATCCCATGGAAACACCCCATATAAAAGGCAATATCTTCACGGCAAAAGTGATTCATTAGTTAGGGTACTTCCGTAGTCAGTGAGTATCTCAAACTCTTGAATATTTCAGATTAAAAATGACTTAATCATTATATGTACTTCTGAAGCAAACAAATAGTAAGTAGTTTCTTTTTGAAATCTTGATCAATCTAATCCACACCATTGAATTGTGTCATGACCGTAAATAATAATTGGTATGTCAATATCTTTCTGACATAAGTGTTTTATATATAACAAACTTGAAAGTTAAATTCCATTACTGAATAGTTGATATTTGAAAAGTTGAAATTCAAGTATCTTACAAAAGCACATACAGACAATGTATCTTTCTCACTGAGTATGTTACGAAATCTTAACACATACGACAAACAGTATTGAGTGTTTGAATACTTGAACAATAGTGCAATAATTGAATTCAACTTTCAAGTTTGACACTATTTAATATCCTAAGAAAGAAATTACAAGAATATTGTTTCAAAATTCTGCTCTACTTTTTTTTTGCTGTTTTAGTAAAGTAAGATCTGCAAAAGGATTCATTATATAGTAAATTATTTTACTCCATTCAGAATAGATTTAGAATTGATTTTCAATATTCCACAAAGTCAAAACTTTGTATGCATTTGTTCAATTGGATAGAATATGAAAAATGACGTTTTTTTCTTTGATATATTCCATTGCATGAAAAGAATAATAAAGATATTTACACTATCTCTCTGTCCAAATAGTCAAAAATTATAGAAGTTTAATTGATTAGTTATTTTATATAATAAATACAAATATAACTAAATCATTAGACAATCAAACAGAGAGTAAACATAATAAGTAAAGTAGCATGTTGCTGGTACTAATGCAGTTGTATAGGCATACAAAAAAAATAAAAGGTTAATATTCACTGATAACGATTTGATCGAAAGAAAAATACCATCAAAAATGAGTTTAAGTAGATTACATATAAAAGTATAGGACCTATGGATATAGAATATTGTCGATTGTTTTGTACGTGATTATATTAAAAAACCGTAGCTTTAACATTTGTTATTTCATTTAATAGAGAGAAAAACAAAAAGTAAGGTGATTTACGTGCATCTTACTAAATCATTTTTTTCGATACTTATATGTGGTTATTCATCATATAGTTTATATTTCTTTTCAAGTTTTCAAAATTGTTCATCATAGCCAAATGATGCGTATTTACTTTGATGAGATACTTAGGAACACATTAATAAATTTTACCCTTAGAAATCTACTCATAAGAAAACTTTTCAACATTTATTCTTATACATATCCATCAAATTTGACAAAAAAAGCACACAAATCTTTCAATAATTTTTTTTCTATGCGTATACTGACGATGGATGGTCTCCAAACGATAAATTGCTTTTAAGTTGGAACTATATTCAATCTATAGAGCCTAGTCAGTAGTTAAATACCCTAGAATAATTCGAATTGTTGCATCTTTATTGTTAAGATATCGAATATTTAGTAAATTTTTCCTGCAGGACCCCAGTTTTCAAACAAAATCATATTTTTGAAGTTTGACC